CGAGACCGGATGCTCGACGGGATGAAGCCGTGGAAATAGCTTGGGAAACCTGCGCTGGGAGGGAGCGAGACCGGATGCTCGACGGGATGAAGCCGTGGAAATAGCTTGGGGAAACTTCGCTGGGAGGGAGCGAGACCGGATGCTGGACGGGATGAAGCCGTGGAAATAGCTTGGGGAAACTTCGCTGGGAGGGAGCGAGACCGGATGCTGGACGGGATGAAGCCGTGGAAATCGCTTAAGGAAACTTCGCTGGGAGGGAGCGAGACCGGATGCTCGACGGGATGAAGCCGGAAATAGCTTGGGGAAACTTCTCTGGGAGGGAGCGAGACCGGATGCTGGACGGGATGAAGCCGTGGAAATAGCTTGAGGAAACTGCGCTGGGAAGGAGCGAGACAGGATGCTGGACGGGATGAAGCCGTGGAAATAGCTTGGGGAAACTTCGCTGGGAGGGAGCGAGACCGGATGCGGGACGGGATGAAGCCGTGGAAATAGCTTGGGGAAACTTCGCTGGGAGGGAGCGAGACCGGATGCTCGACGGGATGAAGCCGTGGAAATAGCTTGGGGAAACTGCGGTGGGAGGGAGCGAGACCGGATGCTCGACGGGATGAAGCCGTGGAAATAGCTTGGGGAAACTGCGCTGGGAGGGAGCGAGACCGGATGCTCGACGGGATGAAGCCGTGGAAATAGCTTGGGGAAACTGCGCTGGGAGGGAGCGAGACCGGATGCTCGACGGGATGAAGCCGTGGAAATACCTTGGGGAAACTGCGCTGGGAGGGAGCGAGACCGGATGCTCGACGGGATGAAGCCGTGGAAATAGCTTGGGGAAATAGCTTGGGAAAACTTCGCTGGGAGGGAGCGAGACCGGATGCTCGACGGGATGAAGCCGTGGAAATAGCTTGGGGAAACTTCGCTGGGAGGGAACGAGACCGGATGCTGGACGGGATGAAGCCGTGGAAATAGCTTGGGGAAACTTCGGTGGGAGGGAGCGAGACAGCATGCTGGACGGAGAAGAAAGCGTGCAAATAGCTTGCGGAAAGTTGCGCTTGAAGGGAGCGAGACAGCATGCTGGACGGGATGATGCCGTGGAAATAGCTTGAGGAAACTTCGCTGGGAGGGAGCAAGACAGCATGCTGCACGGAGACGAAAACTGTGGAAATAGCTTGCGGAGAGCTTTGCTGGGAGGAAGCGCGAGAGGATGAGACAGCATGCTGGACGGAGAGGAAACCGTGCAAATAGCTTGCGGGGACCTTCGCTGGAAGGGAACGAGACAACTGGACGGATGGGAAACCGTGGAAATAGTTTCGGAGAGCTTCGCTGGGAGGAAGCGAGATAGCATGCTGGACGGAGAGGAAACCGTGCAAATAGCTTGCGGAGAGCTTCGCTGGGAGGGAGCGAGACAGCATGCTGGACGGAGAGGAAACCGTGAAAATAGTTTGCGGAGAGCTCCACTGGGAGGGAGCGAGACAGCATGCTGGACGGAGAGAAAACCGTGGAAATAGCTTGGGGAAAGTCCGCTGGGAGGGAGCGAGACAGCATGTTGGACGGAGAAGAAACCGTGCAAATAGGTTGCGGAGAGCTTCACTGGGAGGGAGGGAGACATCATGCTGCACGGAGGAAAGTGTGAAAATAGCTTGCGGAGAGTTTCGCTGGGAGGGAGCGAGATAACATGCTGGACGGATAGGAAACCGTGGAAATAGCTTGCTGAGCTGGGAGGGAGCGAGACAGCTTGCGGAAAGCTTCGCCGGGAGGGAGCGAGACAGCATGCTGGACGGAGAGAAAACCGTGCAAATAGTTTGCGGAAAGCTTTGCTGGGAGGGAGCGAGACAGTATCCTGGACGGAGAGGAAACCGTGGAAATAGGTTAAGGAGAGCTTCGCTGGGAGGGAGCGAGACAGCATGCTGGACGGAGAGGAAACCGTGCAAATAGGTTGCGGAGAGCTTCGCCGGGAGGAAGCGAGATAGCATGCTGGACGGAGAGAAAACCGTGCAAATAGCTTGCGGAGAGCTTCGCTGGGCGGGAGCGAGACAGCGTGCTGGACGGAGAGGAAACCGTGCAAATAGGTTGCGGAGAGCGTCGCTGGGAGGGAGGGAGACAGCATGCTGGATGGACAGGAAACCGTGGAAATAGCTAGCGGAGAGCTTCGCTGGAAGGGAGCGAGACAGCGTGCTGGACGGAGAGGAAACCGTGGAAATAGCTTGCGGAGAGCCTTGCTGGGAGGGAGCGAGACAGCATGCTGGACGGGACAAATCCGTGGAAATAGCTTGCGGAGAGCTTCGCTGGAGGGAGCGAGACAACATGCTGGACGGATAGGAAACCTTGAAAATAGTTTGCGGCAGAGCTGTTGGCACGGGTTTTTTCAGGACAAATGCCATCATTGCGATTGGCCTGAAAAAATTGTGGACCCAAGACTGGTCAAATGGTCCCAAGACCGGTCAAACGGTTTGCAAAGGCTGAAAAATGGGACATGCACAGAGAAGCTTTTACACAAAAAAAGCCTTTACACAGAAACTTTGACACACAGACGCGTTTACAGAGACACAGAGGAGTCTTGACACAGAAGCCTTTACGCACAGAAGCTTTTTTGCACAGAGTAGCTTTTACACACAGAAGTCTTTACACAGAGAAGTCTTGAGACAGAGAAGCCTGTACACACAAAGGCTTTTACAGAGAGAAGCCTTTCGCACAAAGAAGTCTTGACACAGAGGAGCTTTTACGAGAGAAGTCCTTACACAAACGAGATTTACACGCAGAAGGTGTTACAGATAGACGTTCTTTCGGCGCACAGAAACTTTAACACAGAGCAGCTTGTACACACAGAAGCTTTTACACAAAAAAGCCTTTACACAGAGAAGTTTTTCACACAGGAGCTTTTGCACAAGAAAATTTTTACACAGGAAAGCTTTTACACACAGAAACTTTCACACACAGAAGCTTTGTACACAGAGAAGTCTTTGCACAGAGGAGCTTTTGCACACAGAATCTTGTACACACAGACGCTTTCACACACACACACAGGAGGTTTTACAAACAGACAACTTTACGGCGCACAGATTTTTTACACAGAGCAGCTTTTACGCAGCGAAGCTTGTACACACAGGGGGCTTTTTTACACAGAAGCTTTTACATAAGGTTTTTTTAATACACAGAAGCTTTTACACACAGAAACCTTTACACACAGAAGCTTTTACACACAGAAACTTTTACGAAGGTTTTACACACAGAAGCTTTTAACACAAAAAAACCTTTAAACAAAGGAGCTTTTACACAGACGGGTTTACACAGAGAAGTCTTTACACACGGAGGCGTTTACACAGGAAAGAGTTTACACGGAAGCGTTTACACAGAGTAGTTTTTACACAGAGAATTTTTTACACAAAGAAGTCTTGACACAGAGAAGCTTGCACACACAGAGGCTTTTACACACAGAAGCCTTTTACACAGAGCGGCTTTTTCACAGAGGAGCTTTTACACAGAGGAACTTTTACACAGAGAAGCTTGTACACTCAGAGGCTTTGACACAGAGAAGTCTTTTACACAGAGAAGCTTTTGCACACAGAAGCTTTACACAAACAAAACCTTAACACAGAGGAGCTTTTACAGACAGAAGCTGGTACGCAAAGAAACTTTCGCAAACAGAAACTTTTACACACAGAGCGCGTTTTACACAGAAGATTTTACACACAAGAGCTTTTACACCAAAAACCTTTACACAGAGAAGTTCTTGCCCACAGAAGCTTTTACTTGCAGAAGCTTTTATGCAAAGAAGCTTTTGTACAGAGAAGTCTTTACCCATCTTTTATCATGTCTCATTTTTCATGATCATTTGCCATCTGTCACCTTCATATATATCTTCGTTTTCATGCTCTTTTGGTCAGCTCCCTCTGTCGTTTAATTTTCATTTCGTTCTGTCCGTCCACGCTTCGTGCTCGCTCCCTCTGCGGCGAAGCAAACTAAACGAGAACGCAGAAATAGATAGCGACTAGACAGATGGGATAGAGTTAATTACATTAACAGAAATAGCGACTAGAAGACTGTAGGCGTAGCTGACACAGCATGCTGTGGTGAATCGTGCGTCGATTTCGTGCAGAGCACAGCTGGCCACACCCCAAGATTTTCAAGAAAAGGCGTGCTGTGTGCCGTCTTGCTTTTGGGTTCTCTGGCCCACCTTGTTTGTGCAGTGAGTGATTTTATTTTTGCATGATTATAACAGCTATAAGTTGGGATAGAATGTCTGTAGCTATGGCCATATACTCACGCAAGAGTTAAGCGGAACTGCAATCCGCAATGGTCCCCAAGGGTTCGCTTAATCAGCTTCTTTTCATAGCCCTTATTTGTGGGGAGGTACCTTTGAATTGAAGGCCCTTAGCAAGCGACAAGGCTGTGTCTCATCGATATGTCATTGTGATTTCACAATCGAAACTAATGAGATTTCTCCCAAATCTGCGATTGTGAACAAGTCAACTGGGGATTTTACCAGCACATTTGACATTCATTGGGTTGGTTTAAGGGAAATATCAGGGGATTGCCCATGATTTGTACCACAAAATTCTTTTTGGTCTTCTTGTAAGTGTTTCATCAAATCGATTGCGGCAATGTAAGGTGGCTGCTTTTTCCCACTCAAAAAACGAAAGCGAAAATTCAGGATAATCCTGGCCGGACCTGAGAATTCAGAATGTATAGGGAAATCATCCCCTTTTATGGCCGAACTATTCCAGGTTAATGTTATAATTTACCCAGAAAGATGAAAGAAAGTGTATCCAGGGTGCAGATAGAGATCTAACATGATGTAACCAACTTTGATGTGAGTTACATAGGAATCATTCGCCAACAATCCACTTGATCATCCCTACTGACCAGCTTCTGAGTGGGTGGCACCCCAAAAAATCATCATTTTTACGTCTATTCAAATTGGTATAGCCTTCCTCCGTTCATTTTAAACACCCCCCGTTCAACAAAATCATGGTGGATGTAGGGAATTTCCACATTCCATTGGAACCATAATAATTGGGGTGTTTAATATGATGTGGAAATTATAACCATAAATGGTCCCAATTACTATAATGGTGATGGTTATAAATTGATGATTTAATATTAAACACCTAATTTCCAAAAAAAAGGGCTTCATCATTAATCAATATGTTCATCCCCCAGTCATCACCATTGCGATATAGGTGGTAAAAACGCACTATTCCCAGTCATGGCTAGTGGAAATTAGGGTGTTTAATATGAACGGGTGATGGGATTAGTCCCAGCAAACTCGTGTCTGGTCCATGGCCAACTACCATCTAAAGGCGGCACACGAAAATTGCTGGCATCTTCTTGGGCCTCGCGAAAAAAAAAAACTAGCCTCTGGTCATTGAACAATGGAAAATCACCATATTTAATAGGTGTAAATCAATGTAAATCATCTATAAATGGGCCATTGTGCATAGCTATGTTTATCCCATTGTCAATCCCATTAAAATGTTCATTTAAAGTCCATTAAAGTTCAATGTTAATCCCATTGTTAATAGATGAATTTACCTATTTGGAGTATAATTTACCTATTGTTGATCCCATTGTTAATAGTACATTATCAATCATGATTAATCACCAGTAAATCACTATTTAATCCCTCTTAATCCACTGGATAACAATGGATAGCATCCATTAAATCACTACGAATCCCATGATTAACCATTAATAGTATCCACCATCACTATTAAATCACTATTAAATCACTATTAATCATCAATGATAACTAGTCAGTATAAACCTCAGTATTAAATCCAAAACATCACTACTGAATTAATTAATCATTACCCTCTGGTTATTTAACAGTTCGCCATGGTATAGATGGCCCATATAAATAGATGATTTTTCCAGCTATAAACCTCCATTTATTTATGGGATTTTTTCCAGTTCGCTATGTTAGTCATAACCAGATGGTAATATCAATCATCACCAGTTACAGATAGATACTACTCACTGTAATAGTAATAGTGATAATAATAGTGATAATAAGTAAGATTAATGATGGTATAATAGTAAGTACCATTATTATTAATAATAGTGATTAATACCCTCTGGTAAACTAACATAACTATGGAAAATCACCATTTTTAATAGAGAAATCAGCGATCCCTATGGGCTATTTTCAATAGCTATGTTAAATTACCAGAGGGTAATAAGCAATAATAGGATATTTTGATGGTCGCGGTTAATAATGATTAATACCGGGGACTAATAGTGATTAATTAATGATGATTAATAGTGATTTAATAGTGATGATGGGTACTAATGATTAATCATGGGATTCATAGTGATGCTATCATGGATGATGATTAATGATTATAATGATTGGTGATGGTATAGTGATTAGTGATGAATAATGATTAAGCCCTATTGCTACTTATTAACTAATGGGTGATACTCATCAGTGATAATGGATCCCTATTATTAAAATACCATCAAAATACCATCAAGATAGAAGTGATTATTAATAGTGATTACTAATAGTAGTGATACCATCATTAATATTACTTATTATCACTATATTATTATCACTATGACTATTAATAATCGCTACTATTATCAAAATACCATCAAAATACCATTAAGATAGTAGTGATTATGGATCCCTATTGTCAAAATACCATCAAAATACCATCAAAATAATCACTATTGAATCAACTATTAATAATGATAACGTTACGCGCAAACACCCCGTGTCGCCCACACCCCTTCTATGCTGTACACTTGGGGATATCAAACATTAGACTTTACATTCAACTGGAAAAATCAACAAGGGTATTTAGGGAATATAAATTTCCCACCCCCATTAAACTTTACATTCATTGAAGATCTTCAATAAGGGTTTAATTCTCCCACCCCTGTTAAACTTCTACATTCATTGAAGATCTTCAATAAGGGTTTAATTCTCCCACCCCCGTTAAACTTCTATATTCATTGAAGATTTTCAATAAGGGTTTAATTCTCCCACCGCCGTTGAACTTTTACATTCATTGAAGATCTTCAATAAGGGTTTGATTATGATGATGATGATGATGATGATGATGATGGTGTAAGAGGCTCGCACAGGTCCCTATGGTGTGCGTGCCGATATACAACATGAAGTTAGCCATGATGCAAAAAACACTTCATTTTTTACCACGTTTTCAGCACATAAGAAGATGGCCGCCGACAAGCGCGGGCAAGACGAGGTGTTTGCCCGTAATGTTACTATTATACCATCATGAATATTAAAAATGGTGATTCTCCATAGTTACTTTTGTTTACCAGAGTGTATCAATCACTATTAATCACTATTAATAATCACTATTATTATCAAAACACCATCAAAATATCATCAAAATACCATCAAAATACCATTATGAATCACTATTAATCACTATGAAACACTATTAATCACTAATAATTACTAATAATCACTATTAATATTACTTATTATTAATCACTGGCACTGGTTGGTGGTTTTAACCATCTTGAAACATATTAGTCAGATTGGATCATCATCCCAACTATTGGGGAAAATAAAAAATATTCCAAACCACCAACCAGATCACTATTAATCACTACTTATTAAGCCCACCCTGGCCTGGTTCAGGGCCTCAGGTGTCAGACCTGACCTCACCGCCGCAGGCCGAAGCTTCTCCTCCGCCCAGTTTGCCAGAGAAGCAAAATGCTGGATTTACCCTGGAAATCACCAATTTCTAGTGGTTTCACTCGTCTTCCAACCCCGATGACTGGCAGGGTCTATGTTAATTTACTGGAGGGTAACCCTGAAAAATGGTAGTTTTTCTGGATGTTTCTGGTGATTTCATGTGATTTCACCATGAGAAAAGGCGGCAAAATGGTGGTTGAACTACGGAAAATGGTGGTTCAAACTGTGGAAAATGGTGATTTAACATGCAAAATGGTGGATTTAACCAACAAAAACGGTGGTATAATGGGGAGAATTCATGGCGATTGGAATGAGCTGTGCTTTTTTGCCACCAAAACAAAGGGATAAACAAACGGATCACATCAAGGCAAAATAAATAGCATCTTAAACAAAGCGAAGATTTCAGCGAAAACAATGAATTGTACAGAAGCTAGCAAACAGGGGACTTCAACAAGAACAACGAGGATTCCGTCTAAGAAACATGGAGATGTCCGCGAAAACCGAAGATTTCGGCAACAGAATTCAGGGATAGAACATGATATATAGAACCAGGAGAAACTGGCGGGTCAGGTGCAAGCATTAGGATAACCGTCATCCTGCAGCTTTAGCATCCCTTCTTACCAATGGCTGTCTTCAATACGCAAAAAAAATACAAACGGGACCTATTAGCTATAATATGATATATATATAATATATATATAATATATATAATATATATAATATATATATATATGTATTATTCTGTATTTATGATAGAAAAAGAGAGAGAGATGGATTGATTGATTGATTGATTGATGGATTGATTGATTGATTTTAGCTTGTCAGTCTATTTCCCCATCAAGATCACTTCGACCCTGGGACCCTCTGGCAATCAGCTCCATGGGGTTTTATCGTCCACGATCTGTGCCTTCTCAACGATCTGGTCGTTGCCCTTCTGTACGGCAGAGGGGTGTATGGAGACCTCGGTTTATCTCCGGCGCGTGGTTCACAAGGCAAGGGAAATATCTGGGATGAGACCAAGAACTGCAGGGGGTGGGCCGGTCAAACTGGGTATGGAACATTATGGAACCCACAAGAGGCATAGAAAAGGATGTGAACTCGCAGCGATGGTTTTTCGAATGCATGTTTACCATTCACTGTGATGGCTCTTCCTACCAGTAGTAGTTTCTTGAATTTCAGCGAGGGTTAAATGCAGGAATGGTGGGATCAAGAAACAATCAGTTCCCAAATATGGAAGTGAACAAGTTAACAGTTGTATGCACGAGCGGAAGATCGGCTTCATGCATGTCCAGGCAGGATCTGTATGGTGTTTCATGCTGCACCAGCGTCCTCCCGGTTTTTTTTCTTCCTGTTGCTCCTCATGCCTGTTTACCTTGTATACCTGAGGTCTCGTGAGTATGAACTGGCAACTCTCACAAGATCACAATTTATTCAGAATGGAACAGTTGAAAACCCTTTCCAAGTAGATGAAAGTCATGTAATACGGTAAACCCAATGCCATAAGCAACTACCAGGTAAACCTACCACAACTGGGATTGTTTGGAATCCCACCCATTTATGGCCATTCATTGGGATGGTTTCTGAAATGTATATCTTGGGGCCTTAGGGGCAACCTGGATCAAAATGTCTTGCTGCAAGGTCATCGCTTGGCTCAGTTGAAAATCTATCTGTAGCTACCCCACGAGAACTCGTCGATCTTGAGAACAGGAGATGCATCATTTGCGATCATTTGGTTGTGTCTAGAAATTTGATGAAAATTGGCATAGAATGGCCAGGTAATTGGAAAAAATGACCAGGTAATAAATTGTTTTCACCAGGAAAAATCTGGAAACATGATGATTATAACCAGCGGAAAAAAAAATTGGGGTGGTCGGGGTTCTGGTGAAATACAGGCAGATCTTCGACGCCCAGAAAGGTTCATTCTCGGTATGCGATTCCCCACGGTTTCAAGGGCTCAACAGCCAGCTGAAGTAATTGGAAATGTATCCATGTGGAGGTTTCCATAGGTTTCCTAAGTCATGGGGGTACCCCCAGTTCTCATCCATTTCTACCCTCTAGAGTAAACAAACATAAAAAGCTATTGAAAATTGCTATAGATATTTATAGTGGATTTACCTATTCAAAATGGTGATTTTCCATAGTTATGTTAGTTTACCAGAGGGTATGTCATATCGACATATCACCCAGTCATGTGGGATTTTCCATTGTAAACCATCCAATTTAGGAAACCCCCATATGATTATAAAGAGTTGATCAACTGGATTGGGACTTTCCATAAACCATCCAGCTATGGGAATCCCCCGTTGGATCCCTTTCTCGTTGTAACGACGCGGAACCACGAAGAAGTCGTGTTTGATCTTGCCCACCTCAGAGGCGCCACCAGGCCATGACTTTCGGTGCTCATTGTTTATGACAATGGAGTGATTGAAACCCATGGGATATGTATATATATATACATATTTAAGCTTATACATATATAAATAAATATATATATATATATTATGTATATATATATTATGTATATATATATATGATATATATATTTAAGCTTATACATAAATATATATATATTACTGTACTCCGAAAAAAAATTGGTTATGCTGTACTTCTTCCCTTCAAGCACTTCTGATATGTCTGATTATTTCTGATCCTGAAATGAGGTCATGTGAATAATGACTCCCCTGAATCATAATCAATGGCTTTATTTCATCCAGAAAATAGAATGGGGTACTGATATGAAATGATATAGCATCATAGTATCTATAGGAACCAGCAAAAGATGCCGAAAAAAGTTGAACACCTGGAAAATACCGAGACAAACATCATCTGGGGATGAGTCGAAACCTATTCGTACTATATTTGGGGAATAAACATCCATTAACCAGCTATTTTAGAATATTTTAGGGTACCTAGGGTGCCAGGGTTTTGACTCAAAGCCATCTCGTTCACAGTCTTCTTTTTTGGTGCGGCCAGGTCAGCATCCTGAGATGCCCTGCAGTGCCAATGGCCCAGCACACAGGCGCATGAGGCGTCGCTTCCAAGCGCACTTCCACCTCGGGCGCGGCGAACAAAACTGCCGGGGACAGGAAATAATATCCATTACAATTAATAATTTATAACATATAACATATAATATATAATGCTATATATATATTATATACATTATATATACAGTATAAATATATATATATATATACTATATACATTATATATATATACTATATACATTATATATATATACTATACTATACTATACTATACTATAATATAATATAATATATATACAGTATATATGGGGTTTCCATAGATGTGGGATCCCCGATTTAAACGGATGCTTCATAATGGATAATCCCAATCTAAAATTGATGATTTTGGGGCACTCCCATTTTATGAAGCCTCTACATGGATAATACCCTCTGGTAAACTAACATAACTATGGAAAATAACATGTTTTAATGGGTAAATCCACTATAAACGGCCATTTTCAATAGCTATGTTAGTTTACCAGAGCGTAATAGGGATTATCATGAGGGTAATGAAACTATATAATTATCATGGATTCGTTCTTCTTGTTCTTCAGTTTGATACTGTTAAAATCGCTGACTCGAAAATCATGCCAATTTCATCTCTGTTGAGGATGTTCATGTTGTGTTCATTCCTGATACAACATCATTTGGCAGAACTGAGAGTGAAGATAGAGATGGAAAAGTCACGATTCTTTTTCCGTCATCACCAGCAACAAGTCAGAGTTCACATGCCTGAAATCTCTTGTCATTGCCCAGATCATTGATGGTACTGCTATATTTATGCGAGTGGATCCTGCATTAAAAAAATGTTATACAACTGGCTACGAAAGATTCAGAGAAACTTCTATCTAGCAAGCGACCTCTAATCCTCGACCCAAAATTCTACCCTCTGGTAAACTAACATAGCTATGGAAAATCACTATTTTTAATGGGTAAATCCACTATCAATGGCCATTTTCAATAGCTTTTTGTATGTTTACCGGAGGGTACCCAGATTCTCGTAGCTTGAAGCCAACACCAATGGCTAATGGATACCCCCCTGGGAGCTGCACTTTGGAATTCCCATAACTTTGGGGATACCCCGTGGACATTTGTGGATGCAAAATCACACGTAAAAATTGGAAAGTCTGCAACGTTTTAAGTACTATGAATCTATGATATCTATGTTCAAGCAGGCAAAACTTAGATTCATAGTTCAACTTATGGATTCAAAGTACTTAAAAATGGATTTGAATCAAAACTGTTTAAGTACTATGAATCTATTTATAGATTCAAAGTTCAACTTAGTTTCCATCCAAAACTCTGAGGAATTCGCCTCCTCGCCAACCTTGGGCGAGAATTTCTCGATGTCTGAAGGGCTATATCCTCAGCGTTCCGGCTGAAAGGAAGACAGTCTAGGAGGCGGAACTCACCAGCAAGAGTTGGTGGATGGTGGTCCCAAAACATGAATCTTCATTTTACCAAACAGCATTAAATTTTATAATGGATACTGCCCTCTTTGTCTGTGGGCATTTGTTGGCCATTTGAGACTATATGGAACTATATGGACATTTTGCAGACGCATGCAGAAACTTATATTAGATTATTAAATGGTGATTTTCCATAGCTATGTTCGTTTCCCAACAAGGTACGGGTTGAAGCAACACCGGTTTCCCAAAGATGTTCGTAGTTCCGCATGAATTTTGGGATGGTTAGCTTTCAAGTTTGGGAAGCATCCTGCATGTAAGCACTTTGAGGAGGGATACATATGTAATAATATATAATAATATATATATATATAGATACATATACTGTATACATATGTAATTTTATAATGTTGTGCATACTACTTGTTGGTTTTTGATCCCCTTCTTAAAGAATTATATCTTGCATTGGGATCCCACATGTAATCCCGATGCGAATGCGAATGGAGTTTTTGAGGATGTCCATTCTTCCGGAGCGGTGTGAGTTTCCCTCCCGTTTTTGGATCTGCTCTCGTTTTTTGGCTGGAAAATAACAATTTCTACCTGATTCAGCTTCTGCTAGGTGAAACGATCAATGGATATGGGGGATATGGAGCCTCCATGAGCAAAGAAAGCGGAGTTACCTTATCATGACATATCATGACAAATTTGTCTGGGTCTTCTACAGACGTTTTGATAAGTTTTATCTTTAGTAGGATATCCATAGGATCCATGTATGGTATATATGCTAACATTGGGGGTATATTGATGGTAAATGTTACCATATATAGCAGCACCATGGATCCTATGGGATATGATATAAAACATCCCTTCAGCCCAGTCACGAGTCGTTGATCAACGAGTATCGGTCAGGCTGTAAAAAATTGTTGTGGAGGGTCAATCACCAAGAAATCGATAGGCAAATCATGGTAAATCAAAACACCATTCCAGATCAAAAACCTAAAGTTTACCGCAGAAACAAAAAGATCCTGAACTTGGGGTGCCCAGCTGGGAGACCTCCTGGCTTCGAGGTTCAGGTGTGAAACCAGACCACAACTGGTGTCGCAACTTAAGCTTTTTGGGTGCTTTGAAGTGATGATTTCTTGCGTTTCTAGATATTTCTACTGATGTTCTTTTTGGTTTGGATGATTTTGCTTCTTATTTTTCTATCTTTCAAGAAGGCCTCTTGAAGAATCCAGTGAAATTTCACTTAAAGAACCTGTTAGTTCGGATCAATCAAGAAACGTAACATCTTTCGTGGCCCAAATGTTAGGGGGTCCGGTGAGGGACAAAATCATCCATCAACCCCCAGGAAAAACTGGAGCCCAGTCAATTCATTTTTGCAATGTGATCTACACTTGGATGCACTGCATTGTCTAGATACTCTGGTAGTAAATCCAGCACCATGTCTAGGTAAATCATCGAACTAAATGGGCCATGTCTAATAGCACCATGTTGAAGTATCACAGGGATAATCTCAATAGATTTGGAGAAGTTCGTAAAAGAAATCGCACAAATTATCCATTTTCATAATCTCAATCCCAAGTGGATTTCAGAAAGCCAGGTAGATCCGGGTCATTTGGTTCCACCGTTGGACCACCCTCCCTGTTCGTGGCCCGGTGAAACGGGGAGGCTTACCGTATTGGCTGTGTCTGAAAATGGTGCTTTATCTGCGGGCAAGGCCCAAAAAAATGGCATTCCAACAGGGAAAATATATGAAAAATATGGGGAAATGATGATTAGGTATCAAATTCAGGGTGAAAAAAACTATTTCGACAAACCCGATATGATTCAATATGCATAGCAGTTCAACTGCACCTCCAGGAGTTATGCTGCGATCCGACTTGCTCGTCGTGACTAATCTTAGATACCTCAAAACATGAAACTCAATACAGCAACAATCAGACAATCAGACAATCAGTAATAATCAGTAATATAGAGAGAACAATAATCGGGGTTGATTGGCTAATTAGTAATAACCATCAACCCCAGTATACACAGCAATGATCAGTAATAATCACTATGTAGAACCTTTTTTTCGGCAGGATACAGTAATTATAAGTAATAATTTTAGTTTTCCTCATGATGCCTCCGCTAATCATGATTTATCCCTCAAAATTCACCTTCAAAGCCAAGGGTTATGTCTTGGCAAACATCAAATCTGGCTGAATTAGAATGAATCACGAACCTAAAAATAGCTTTGATCATTCGGTCATTTGGGGATGATTCTATATATATATATATACATATTATATACATATATATATATATATGTTTATTTATTTATTTATTCTCTAACCACGTTTAACCATCATTGTCACGCAGTGCGGTCATGATTTTGCTCATCCAGATTATGAGTTAGACTACCCAAAAATGGGATCATGATGGCAGTATAATGGCTTTACAATGAGGATTTTTCATGGGATACTAGATTCTTATCTGGATAGGGATAACATCTGGATAATCATATCTAATTCATAATGAGATAATAATGGGCTAATATCTGGATAGAGATAACAATTCATCCAGATCTCATGTCTCCTGACTTCTGCCGCGGGATAGCGCGTTGGAGGCCAGATGTCATCCTGCACAAAAACTCGGCATCGAAACTTCACCGATGCAAAAGTTGAAAAAATCAGCCACGGAAGATCGGTGTTACCCTCTGGTAAACTAACATAGCCATGGAAAATCACAATTTTCAATGGGAAAACTCAATAAAAATTGCCATTTTCAATAGCTATGTTAGTTTACCAGAGGGTAAGCAACAAAACTCGGGAGTCGACCAACACAAAATATGGCCATGCTGGCCAGGAATCTATATAAATTGGAGGTACCTAGTATATATAAGTCCTATGTTTTAGGGAATATCCCAAGAAAATATGGTCAAAAATATGATACTAACGTACCTCCATGTATTGGATCCTGGAGATCTCCCATTGAAACACTGGGGATTCAAGCAGTCTAATGTGTTTAAAACAATAATAAACCATTCCCCAAATCACCATAAATAGGTGCTACAAACCATTCCCAAATGGGTGGTTAACCAATGTCATAAAGGCCAAGTTGACCAATTTCACCAACACAACGGCATTTACACTCCCGGGAACAAACGTGTCTCGGGCTACCGTTTCAGGTATCAACTAACATGTCCACTCTTTACCGGCGTTTTCCTGGGGAATGCATTGCAACTTTTTTTGGGACCATTGACCCAAAAACAGCTAACATGTCTCAGTTCCTGCAATTGGGGCCCTTGGATTTCGACCCTGATCTGGGATATGTTCGCTATTTTTGGGGGATAGATTCAGCGAATAACCACTCACATATCTCAAAACCACATCCTCTGAACAACACGGACACGTTAAGTGGACGCTTTCCATGGCCAGTCATCCAACCCTTAGTAAATGCAACTGCTTTTTGGAATGCACCCCCAATCTTCCTGCCCACCTCCGAGCATCATCTATGATGCGCTCTTCCGGAAGGAGTTGGGGCCCCTTTTTTTATCTTTTGTCTCCACCGTTTCCCGGGAACCCTCAGAGGGGGTGTCAGCTTTTCCACAAAAACATGTCCATTCTGGATTTTCAACTAACAAGTCTCAAGTATAGGGCATTTATCATAGCCTATGTTCACGCCAGCTAACGTATCCAATTTTTTTCCACAAAAAAAGTGGATACGTGTCTCGGGCTACCGTTTCAGGTATCAACTAACATGTCCACTCTGTACCGGCGTTTTCCTGGATTTCCTGGGGAATGCATTTCAACTTTTTTTGGGACCATTGACCCAAAAACAGCTAACAAGTCTCAGTTCCTGCAATTGGGGCCCTTGGATTTCGACCCTGATCTGGGATATGTTCGCTATTTTGGGGGGATAGATTCAGCGAATAACCACTCACATATCTCAAAACCACATCCTCTGAACAACACGGACACGTTAGGTGGACGCTTTCCATGGCCAGTCATCCAACCCTTAGTAAATGCAACTGGTTTTTGGAGTGCACCCCCAATCTTCCTGCCCACCCACGAGCATCATCTATGATGCGCTCTTCCGGAAGGAGTTGGGACCCCTTTTTTCTCCACCGTTTTGTTATCAATGCAGTCTTTGATTTGAGCCCTACTGGGGTCTGGAAATAAGGATGCTGGGGCGTCCGGGGCGGTAGTCTTCTGGCAGTTTCCCGGGAACCCCCAGAGGGGGGGGACAATTTTTCCACTAATATGTCCATTCTGGATTTTCAACTAACATGTCTCAAGTATAGGGCATTTATCATAGCCTATGTTCACAGCAGCTAACGTATCCAATTTTTTCTCCACAAAAAAAGTGGATACGTGTCTCGGGCTACCGTTTCAGGTATCAACTAACATGTCCACTCTGTACCGGCGTTTTCCTGGATTTCCTGGGGAATGCATTGCAACTTTTTTTGGGACCATTGACCCAAAAACAGCTAACATGTCTCAGTTCCTGCAATTGGGGCCCTTGGATTTCGACCCTGATCTGGGATATGTTCGCTATTTTGGGGGGATAGATTCAGCCAATAACCACTCACATATCTCAAAACCACATCCTCTGAACAACACGGACACGTTAGGTGGACGCTTTCCATGGCCAGTCATCCAACCCTTAGTAAATGCAACTGGTTTTTGGAATGCACCCCCAATCTTCCTGCCTACCCACGAGCATCATCTATGATGCGCTCTTCCGGAAGGAGTTGGGACCCCTTTTTTCTCCACCGTTTTGTTATCAATGCAGTCTTTGATTTGAGCCCTCTTGGGGCCTGGAAATAAGGATGCTGGGGCGTCCGGGGCGGTAGTCTTCTGGCAGTTTCCCGGGAACCCCCAGAGGGGGGGGACAACTTTGCCACTAACATGTCCATTCTGGATTTTCAACTAACAAGTCTCAAGTATAGGGCATTTATCATAGCCTATGTTCACAGCAGCTAACGTATCCAAAAAACTTTTTTTCCACAAAAAAAGTGGATACGTTTGTTCCCTAGAGAGTAACCAACCAAAATAGGGATCTGTTTGTCAAATGTGACCCCACAAAAACCAGGGCAATTTATCCAGCCTGACTGGTAAAGAGGCCATAAATTACAATAAAATTGAATAAAATCAGATTCTGGAGTCATGAGCATGTTTGGCCAGCTGTAGATGAAGACGAGACAACAACCAATCAACATGGTTTTTGATGACCGGTTGGCGTTTTCAGGTACTGTACTCCAAAGAAGTTCCCTGGCCACCAAGTCACTTTGACACCAGCCATGGCGCACCCGTTTGATGATTCGGGTATGAATTTTAAGGCCAACCATGAGCCACCGGACCGCAAATGTTGGCAATGTTTTGTTCCATGGCAAATCATATGATTTTTGAGTACCCAATTAGAAGGAACATTTTCCTGAATGAAAATCATTGATATCACCCATTCACCCAGCATTTACTCACCTTCTGGTTTGTTCCAATCGCGCTGGTCAAAGGCAGCTTCAAATCTGGCTTTGGGGTAACGTCTCCAGTCCAATGCGACAACCCCTGGGATCATCAAGAACATTTTTGGACAAAGCCCACCAAAATTGTCTGCTTGTAGCATACCTGGTTGGTGGTTGACCTACCCCTCTGAAAAATGATGGAGTGAGTAACAGTTGGGATGATGAAATTCCCAACTGAATGGAAAGTCATAAAATTCCATGGTTCCAAACCACCAAAGCACCAGTTTTGGATCTCCCCCAATTGCCCCACGTCCTCGAAGCCAATGAGCAACTCATCTTTGGGCCCCACGTCTTTCACGAAGCCGCAGTACCTGCCACACTGGGTTGTCTTTTACAATGGGTGTTTACCCCCGATTCATGGCCATGAATGGGAAGGTGACACTTCACCAGATTCACCACCAGATTCACCAGCAGATTCAGCGATTTTTCGGAGTAGCCTATTTTCTGCAGATCCACCATGTGATAAACCCCGTGAATTTCTGGATCAATTGATCCACAGTGGTGCGTGTTTGGTATATGTGTGGTTTTTGTGAGTTATATATATATAGTTATATTCCCAAATAGTCTTCTTCTATCATAGTATGAAAATCTTTTGGAACATCGTACCTTCCAGTAAATTAACATAGACACCAGGGATTGGAAGATGAGTGTCCATTTACAAAAGGGCTATTTTCAGGGTCAAACTGTTACCCTCTGGTAATTTAACATAGCTATTGAAAAAGGCCCAGTCGAAATAGTTGATTTACCTATGAAAAATGGTGGATCTTTCCATAGTTGTTTGTATGTTTACCAGAGGGTATTAATCACTATTATTAATAACAATGGTACTTACTATTATACCATCATTAATATTACGTATTATCACTATTATTATCACTATTACTAGTACAGTGAGTAGTATCTATCAGTAAATGGTGATGATTGATATTACCATCTGGTTATGACTAACATAGCGAACTGGAAAATCCTTTACAAATGGAGGTTTATAGCTGGGAAAATCATCTATTTCTATGGGCCATCTATACCATGGCGAACTGTTAGTCATAACCAGAGGGTAATGATTAATTAATTCAGTATATTCAGTAGTGATGTTTTGGAAAACCCATGAGATAAATGGAGGTTACTATTATTATTACCCTCTGGTAAACTAACATAGCAATGGAAAATCACCATTTTTAATGGGAAAATCCACTATAAATGGCCATTTTCCATTGCTATGTTAGTTCACCAGAGGGTACTATTAATTTACCAGATGCTAATCATCCCTGGCAGTTTTGGAGCGTCATCCCACGGATCGCTCGTTCATCGAAGTTTCTCCCACGGCAAAGGTGAAAAACCACCCACTTTTAGAGATCTAGAAGAAGTTTGAAAGTTTATCTAAATAGGACTAAATACTATTAACCATATATATATATGTATATATGTATATATGTGTATTTTATATATTATATATTATATTATATATTATACTATATATATATTATATACATCTGGGAAAATCATAATATGTCACTAACCTGAATAGTTCGGCCATTTGGGGATGATTCCTCTTATTAAGCATGATTCCAGTGAGGTCGCAGTGAGGTCAAAATAATTTACCCAAATATGTGGAGGTTTCCTTAATTACTAACCATACATGGTTTCCATATATAATACTTATGGCTAGTACAGTAATAATCTATACGGATCTACAACTATAAACCACTAACCATATATATGATGTTTGGTTTAATCACTATAAATCCCTATTAATCACTACAAATCCCTATTATAACCATATATATATATATGATGTTTGGTTTATAAATCCCTAAAAATCACTATTAATCCCTATTATAACCATCTAAATATATTACCCTCTGGTAAATTAACATAGACCCTGGCAGTCATCGGGGTTGGAAGACTAGTTTCCATTAAAAATTGGTGATTTTCAGGGTCTATGTTACTTTACCAGAGGGTAGATCATCAGATCCATATATATGATGTTTGGTTTAATCACTATAAATCCCTATTAATCACCATAAAACCCTATTATAACCATATAAATATATTAGATCATCAGATCCATATGCTTTCCTCTATGGTATTTTGGGCGCACCAAATGGGCCGGGCGTCCTTTTGCACCTCCACAGCCCCGAGGCCTGCGATGGCGAGTGTTTTTGGTCATAGCCTTTACGAGTGGTTTTTACCAGAACTTCTATGATTAACTCAATTTTTTGTAATGTAATATGTAATTATCATATATATATAATATTATATATAATTATTATAGATAATATTATATATAATATTATAAATAATATTATATATAATATCATATATATATAACTACCATATATATAATATCAAATAATATCATATATATAATTATATGTGTTCAAGTGTGTAAGAAAAACATGAATCTGTAAATTAGAATCGATGGAATTTTATTGTGTTCTATGTCTTTTTACAATCCCGAGCCTGTACTAGAAGGGTGGCTTCTGATCTGCACATGGTCCTGACAGTTCTGATTAATTTGCGAACTATACCCTCTGGTAAACTAACATAACTATGGAAAATCACCATTTTTCATGGGAAAATCCACTATAAATGGTGATTTCCCATAGTTATGTAACAGTTTACCAGGCAGGGTACCTCAGGATGCAGACTGCCATGAAAACACATGAAACTGCCAGGTTTCTGGTGTGACATCACAATCTCTACTGGTGCTTCTTCGGCAAAGCGCAACGCTGAAAGTGGAAGCATCAGATCGAAGGAAAGTTGGATGGTCCCCGTATTACTTATTCAGGGTCGCCTTGGGTCGCTTACTGATATGCTCTGGTATACTATACATATTGTCCCCTGTTCATGGGAAATCATGGAATGTAGGATTCACCCAACAATAGACACCATCCCCAATAGAGCTTTAAGAAATTGGGTATAAACAAACCCATATTTGGGATGGAAAATGCGTGCGGCTGTGATCATCACAATTACAAATAGCGACAATTGGGGTACCCGATTCTTCTTGAGACATTTTTGTTGACCCAAAAAATGATTCAACATAGTAGTGGTGTTCGTAGTAGCAGTGGTGTTAGTAGTGGTGTTAGTAGTGGTGTTAGTAGTGGTGTTGGTAGTAGTAGTAACAGTAGTAGTAGTAGTAGTGGTGTTAGTAGTGGTGTTGGTAGTAGTAGTAACAGTAGTAGTAGTAACAGTAGTAGTAGTAGTAGTAGTAGTAGTGGTGTTAGTAGTGGTGTTAGTAGTGGTGTTGGTAGTAGTAGTAACAGTAGTAGTAGTAGTAGTAGTAGTAGTAGTAACAGTAGTAGTAGTGGTGTTAGTAGTGGTGTTGGTAGTAGTAGTAACAGTAGTAGTAGTAGCAGTAGTAGTAGCAGTAGTAGTACTAGTAGTAACAGTAACAGTAACAGTAGTAGTAGTAGTAGTAGTAGTACCAGTAACAGTAACAGTAACAGTAGTAGTAGTAGTAGTACTAATAGAAGTATAATAATACTAATAATAATAATAGTAGCAGTAGCAGCAGCAGCAGCAGTACGAGTGGTAGATCACATCCTCCGGTAATCAAAGATAGCAATCTCCAGTGATTTTTTTGGGGGGATTTTCCAGCTTCCAAACCCCGAACACTTTTTGGCCCTTAGACATATGCTGCTTGGTGGTTGACCTACCCCTCTGAAAAAAGTGAAAGTCAGTTGGGATGAGTCTTCCCAATATCTGGAAAAATAGAATTCATGTTCCAAACCACCAACCAGAAATGTATGTTTTCGCGGTCTTGATGGCTTGACAATTGATAATGGTATAATTTATAATCAAAGTTGAAGGTAAAATTTAAAAACAAAGAAAACACATGTTGGCTGGTTGAATCATCTTGAATCATTTAAGACACCCCGAGTTTCCTTGGTTTTTTTGCTGCGGAAGTCCAAAAAAATCGTACAAATCTCGTTGTCATGGCCAATCTTAGATACCCTGCAAGACATTTACTTTAGCTGCTTCGTGCATATACCCAGCTAAAACATGGCAAAAGATTGTGTCAAGTAGCAAGCTATCCGTTCCCATGAAGTGCTGCTGATTCCGTGTGATTCCCCGATTTTGGATGGTTACCGTCTGGTAAACATACACAAAACTATAGAAAATCACCATGTTTAATGGGTAAATCCACTATAAATGGCCATTTTCCATAGCTATGTTGGTTTACCAGAGGGTAAATCACAATTCTTGTTGGACAGTGAATTTTCGTGAAATCCCCATAATCCCAACTCTTGATTCAAGGGCGGCCTACGGAAAATTCATGAAAATTGGCACCAAAATATAGCTATCATTGCTATCATCAAATTTGAGTTTCCCATTTTTCAGACATCGCCCGAAATTTCCCATCTCTTTTCGTGGATCCACGCTCCGCGGCCTCCATTGGCCATGACGACACGACCGTCGAAATCGGACGAGGCTCAAAATCGGCCGCTTTTCGCGCCGCTCGAGCCGAGCCGACAGCATGGAGACCCCTGAAATTCGCTGGTTAAAACATGTTGAAACCATTTGAAACCTAAGTTGTGCCCAAAAGGCAATGGCTATCTAGGGGTATGTCATTGGAATTTTGGTGACATTTAGACTCTTTTGGGAATTGACCAAAGACAATTGGGCATTTAACCAGTACTGAGTACCATCCATTACACTGGCTGGTGGCGGGTCCGGTTCATGAAGTTCATGGGTGACCTGACGACATTGGGAAAAGTTTAAGCAACATTGGCTTGTCCGAAAATGGGGAATACCCCAAAATTGGAACATTGAAATCATTGACCATGTAAGAACCACGATGATCCATGGAGAGGGTGCCCAGTTTAGAGACAAACCTTTTTGTGTTTTCCAGTGAAGAATCCTTCATGGGCACCCACATCTGGTAAAACGATAGTAACCAACTCACCTGGCTTGGTCCATGGGTTTCCATGTCACAATGTCTCATGGCTTCCCATGAAATTACAATTTTGAAGGTATGCCTCATGTTCAAATGCAGCCATGTCTCAGAAAAATTGGACACCAAACCAAAGCTGGTTGGTCACCAAAGTCAACTGCCCAACTTTGGGTGTCATGGGCCATGGTCATTTGAGTTTCTAACACACAACTCGTCGTTTTCTTCAAATATCTGACACATCGCTTTTATACACCCCACTAAAAAGATAGCAACATATCAACATATAGTAGCACCCAGCATGGGATCATATTGCCCTGTATTTTTCTGGGTCCATGACAGGTCCTTGTAGCTGGGAGTCCCCACCCTGTACCCATTCCAGCCGAGATTCCACCCCACTTTTTCAGGGAAAAACCACTGGAAAAAAAACAAAAACAGCAACTCAGGATAACTCAGGTATGTAGCCGTTCAGGGATTCAAACATCAAGCATTTGGAGGAATATAGAGCAGCATAATGTATCATAATATACGATATAATACGTTGCATTCCCCATGTGTGTCCCATATGTTCTCATCGTTGGAAACTTGAATCTTCTCAGCCCCCGTTTTTTGATGTCAAACCTCTAGCGGCCCACTGGGCAGTTGCCCCGCAGCACCCACCTCGTAGTCCAGAGCACCGGTGTTCACACCATCTGCCTTGGCATTTTTGTAAAGTCACAGCAACTGACAATCCTTACAATGTGAGGCCCCCAAGATATAAGTTGGTTTAGATTCGCCCCAGTAACTAGTTCGTTATAAATACCATGAACCAAGTGACATTGGAGTTATGTGCACCAACTTAGCTATCATAAATCAGCTATAAATCCCATTAAAACTCCATGTTTGTTGGTCAAATCACCATTTTCCTATGGTGTTTCTTGGGGGGCCTCACATTGTAAGGGTTGATCCACAACTCCCGGGGATGTTGGACCCCACCGAGCTGCAACCATGGACTCACACCAGGATGGACTCGATGGCCTGGTAGCGCAAAAAAAGGGGCCCAAATCCTGTAGAAAATTTGGAAGAAATCTACGGAAAATCACCATTTTTAATGGGAAAACTCACTATTTCTATGGCAATTTTCAATAGCCTCTGGTAATTCAACGTAGCTATTGAACATGGCCATAGAAATAGTGGATTTACCCATTGAAAATAGTGATTTTCCATAGTTATGTTAGTTTACCAGAGAGTATCGAAAGCTGTGGTTGCATCCCTACTGCTAAACCTGAGTGAAGGGGACATGATGTACTAATGTACTGTTTCATAAGTGATATCAGTGATATGAGGTATTAATTGATATCTAAATGATAATCATGACCACCGTTGAAAAAGTGACCCAATAATCAGATCAAGTGTTTTCGAATTTGAATATCCACATGTTCAAAATGGTTCTATTCATGATCAAAAAAGCATGTTATCATAGTTAGTGTGTGTGTGTGTGTCAATTTTGATAATTTTGCTTGGTGGCACTTTGAAGTGCTAAAAAAAACATCGGACTTACTAGAGTATCGTAAACTCTGCAATGTTGGTGCAATCGGGGAAAAAAATGCGGCATTGAACCACTACAGACGGGGATATGAGCAACAAATACTTCTGGGGGTTGCTTGAAACCGCATGTGTGGTTGGGCAATTTACGCCGTTGTCCACCTCTGAAATGTTACATTCAACATCATTCTTTGGATCCCATTTTAGCACCATGGGTTTCAAGTTTCTAAGTCATGGTCATCCATATAATTTTGGATGATTTGGGGGTACTTGGTACTTCCATGACTTAGGAAACCCAAAGACTGATATTTCGGAAAAAAAAAAAAAAAACTCTTCCAGCCTTCCAGCCCCATGTTTTTAGATCGGTGCCTTGCGCCACCGGCGAGCTCCGTCTCTTCAGGCATCACCTGGCAGAACCGCTTGCAGGCCATGTTGCCACGTTGATTCCGGGATGTTTCGTGGGATTCACCATCAAACAATGGTGATTTAATGGGATTTAATAGTAATAGTGATAATAATAGTGATAATAAGTAATATTAATGATGGAATAATATTAAGTAACATTATTATTAATAATAGTGATTAATACCCTCTGGTAAACTGTTACAAAAAACAATGGAAAGATCCACCCGTTTTTTAATAGGAAAACTCACTATTTCGACTGGGCCATTTTCAATAGCTATGCTAAATTACCAGAGGGTAATGGGATTTGACGGGCATTTAACCTCTGGTCATTTGTTATTGCTATGGACAATGACCAATTTTAAGAGGCGGTAAATCATCCAAATATCTTAACTTGTCCAGGACGCTATCTTAAATAACCAGAGGGTAACCATCATTTTTGTTGGGTACACCATTTTCAGACAACATCAAGGACCCTTGAAGGTCTGCAACTCACATGGAAAATGTGACTCATCGGAAATTGAGAGTTTGCAAATGAGGATGGGTCAAAACCTTGTACCCCTGTAGTTCACATCAAAATAGCTGGTAAATGGATGTTCATTCCCCCAAAAATGGCATTTATAGGTATTGATCCATGGCCAAATGATGAAGTTTTAGGTGTGTGCACTTCCCCGTTGCAAAACAAACACGGTACCACCAGCCCCGAGGTATCTTTTAAGGCATCCGTTTGGATGTAGAGTTGAAGACAGCAAAATATGGATTTCTCTGGAAACATTGCCAATCTTAGATACCGTGCAAAAAAGATTACTGGTTGGTGGTTTTAACCATCTTGAAAAATATTAGTCAATGGGAAGGATTATCCCATATATTATGGAAAATAAAACATGTTTGAAACCACCAACCAGATTAGCTGGTTAGTAGATAATCCCATAGCAAAAGACTAAAGGATTAGTTTCTACCCATCCAGTCGATTGACCTAGGAAATAGGTAACCCCAAATTTTGATGGTTTATCATCATTGTCCCTGTTCAACTGCCCGTTTTGCCGCATTTCCTTTTGGGAGGCAAACCCAAATCATACTTTTGGCTACATCCCTCATTCTTGGGCGTGCAGGAAGGGCCCCAGTTATAAGATGTTATAAGTTTGTTTATAATTTATGACCATCTAGCTAGTTCGATTTATCATGATTTCTTCATCCCACCGTCAATCCAATTGTTAGTCTAGCTATAAATCCGAGTTACCTATCGCAAAATGGGGCTCCGTCCTGAGTCAAAACCCTGGTACCCTTCTGTCCACACCAAAGTAGGTGAGATTTATCATGTTCATCCACCAAAACGTGTGGAAAATGATCGGTGTTGCCCCATCCATTTGTTGGGGTTTCTCTAAGAATAGGTTGCCCCTGGTTGTAACCAATGTCTAATCAGTAGTATCCGTTATATATCCTTATCAAAATTGGCTCTCCGTGGTAGTATATCGGTATACTGGATTCCATTTCAAACAGACCCAAATATCATATTCTTGGTTTCAGATACCCCATGATATTCCTCCTTTTACTGGTAGATCTAGAATCAAGAGATTCTATCCCCGTCCCCATTGATCCCCATTGATCAGTTGCACTCTCCCGGACTAAACACAATGATATCCCTTTGGAAATCCCCATTGAAGTGGATTTTTTGGGGTTATGCTCCCATTCTATTCCCATTTATATAAGTGGACCTACATACTCCCATACCCCATACCATAAGCTGTTGATAGCCATAAACCCATGATATCTTCATGGTTTCATCCCATTGTAAATATCCCCACCTTTTATTAGTGCCAAGCTGCTGCCATCAGAAACTTGCCCGACTTCGGCCTGGGCCGAAGGGGGTTTACCATAAATGAAAAATCTGTCACAGTTTGCGAACTGGAAACATCACCATAAATAGTTATAGTAGGAAAATCAACTAATTCAATGATCATGTTCAATAGCTGATTAATAGGTAAGTCAACTACGGTAACTACATTTAAATATACGAACTGGTATTTCATACTACCTCCGGGGCGTCGCGGTCTGGCCCGCCCTCCACATATAGATGGTGTTACTGTATAAAAATGATCATGTTCAATAGCGACGTCTATATAGGTAAATCAACTAATTCAATGATCATTTTCAATAGCAAACTGTTAAAAATTACATTAAATTACCAGAGGGTACCATAAATGGATAATATAAATATATATAAATGATGGTACCCCCAGTTATCATCCATGTTTATTTATTTTTGGATGTTCCATGAAAGAAACCAACCACTGGGCAGGGGTATCCCTGAAGGTCTCCCCATTTGTGGAAAGCCCATGAAAATCTCCCCACTTCTTGGCGACTTTTGAAGCAGATTGTCCACATCATCTTCGGCAAATCCAGGGAAAAGGTCTCAAAAAGTGATTCAATCGTCTTTCATAATCCGCAATCCGTTTAATCCGCAATCCGCCTAATGATTGGAGATTAACTTTGATCACACCAGCAAAATCGGATCCCTACATCCCCAAAACAGAGGCATATATGTTTTTGGAGCAAGTGAAAATCACATGATGTTGCTCTGCGATG